TTAGATTGTGACAATCCACATCCATACCAGGTACTCTCACAGTAACACAAAGCCACCTATTAGATTGTGACAATCCACATCCATACCAGGTACTCACAGAATAACACAAAGCCACATATTAGATTGTGACAATCCACATCCATACAAGGAACTCTCACAATAACATATACCCACCTATTAGATTGTGACAATCCACATCCATACCAGGTACTCTCACAGTAACACAAAGCCACCTGTTAGATTGTGACAATCCACATCCATACCAGGTACGCTCTGAGTAAGACAAAGCCACATGTTAGATTGTGACAATCCACATCCATACAAGAAACTCACAATAACATATAGCCACCTATTAGATTGTGACAATCCACATCCATACAAGAAACTTTCACAATAACATATAGCCACCTGTTAGAATGTGACAATCTACATCCAAACCAGTAACTCTCACAATAACATATAGCCACCTATCAGATTGTGACAATCCACATCCATACAAGGAACTCTCACAATAACATATAGCCACATATTAGATTGTGACAATCCACATCCATATCAGGTATTCTCAGAATAACACAAAGCCACCTATTAGATTGTGACAATCCACATCCATACCAGGTACTCACAGAATAACACAAAACCACCTGTTAGATTGTGACAATCCACATCCATACCAGGTATTCACAGAATAACACAAAACCACCTATCAGATTGTGACAATCCACATCCATACAAGGAATTCTCACAATAACATATAGCCACCTATTAGATTGTGACAATCCACATACATACCAGGTACTCACAGAATAACACAAAGCCACCTGTTAGATTGTGACAATCCACATACATACCAGGTACTCACAGAATAACACAAAGCCACCTGTTAGATTTTGACAATCCACATACATACCAGGTATTCACAGAGTAACACAAAGCCACCTGTTAGATTGTGACATTCCACATCCAAACCAGTAACTCTCACAATAACATATAGCCACCTATTAAATTGTAACAATCCACATCCAAACCAGTAACTCTCACAATAACATATAGCCACCTATTAAATTGTAACAATCCACATCCATACGAGGAACTCTCACAATAACACAAAGCCACATATTAGATTGTGACAATCCACATCCTTACAAGGTACTCTCACAATAACATATAGCCACCAATTAGATTGTGACATTCCACATCCAAACCAGTAACTCTCACAATAACATATAGCCACCTG